TGGTCTTAGTTTACAGGGTATGACATTTCCGTTTGAAAACGGGGTACTGGGATATGAACTGCAAGCGTTTGGTGTCTAGATGGCATTGAAGTAATTTTGGAGCTAGATCGACCTCAGGCAATTTTGACCAGGTTACGTTCGTTGTTGTTATGTAAACAACAGGTAAAATGCAGTTTGATACACAAACAAATTTATTACGACAAACAACTGAAAAAGGGTAAAAGCCGACAAGGACTGGAGGTCAACTAAGACTTGAGCAGGGCTTGCTTCAGAGCAACTGCTAGTGTGAAGGCTTGTGTGCAACTGACTAAAACTACAGCTTGCTACTGATGCTTACAAGCTAAATGAAACGGAAGTTCTTTATTCATTGACGGATGCTTGTTTACCTCATAGGAAATGGAGAATGAATCGTCTTCAAACGTTTACTCGGAAGGGATAGTATTTTTAGTGATCCTGTATTAAGCGGTCAGTTCTTTAAATCCCGAGGGTGGCCGTTATATACAGGTTCGAATGCATTTCATCTGTTTTCATCTGATCGTCGGAATAATCTAGCCTAGAAACTCACCCATTTTTATACTTGGAAACGATTAGGAAATTACAGATTGAAACAAAAACTGTTAACAGAGGTCTATTTAAAGTCTAAACTGGACCGCGCGGTGAAAAGGAGTTTGGTCTGCAGTGCGGTCAGAATCAGATTGCCATCCGGGGTTGGCCTTCCAGGGGTTTTGGGAGATAAGGGAACATGATAACTTATTTCAAGGGAACAAGGGATTGTGTTTCAATAATTTAAAGGAGCAAGGGATATCTTTACTATAAACGGATCTTTGCCGGACAAAAAATAGGAACTCATGAAGTTTATGAATGAGGAAGAAGGGAGAAAATGCAATTATTTTTAAGAATCAAGGGAACCTCTATCCCCCCTCCCCCCCCGTCCCGGGAGGCCCTCCTGGGGAGGGATGATAAGCCTGACCGCTTCATGTTACAAAAACCGGAGCGCCGTAAAAGATGAGGGAGTAGACGGGCGTAAGAGGACTTGCCTTCTATTAACAATTCTGTTTCCACGAAAAATGGACCACTGACGAAGTTACGTCGTCGTTTTGTGTTTTGAAAACACTGAGGATAAAAAAACAGTCAATTAGGTTTCTCCCGTTATTTCAAGCAGAATGTTTTAGTCCGTTCTTAATTTGTTTGCCGAGATTTGAAATATTTGCTTCCTGGCAAAGTTGTAGAAAGTTGCAAGTTTATGGCGATCAAAGCTTTTGGCTCGACCACAAACTTGCAGCCAAAAAACTCGACCAATGTTTCCCTATTAGCAAACACACACAGGTCATTTACGCTTATATCCGTAAAATATGTCATCTGACGACCGCACATAGTAATAACGCAAAAGGGAATATCTTGTTTCTCAGAAAAGAGGCACAATATTGTGTTTGTGAGAAGGTTGTTTTCATGCGCTTAGTTGAAAAGCCGCCCCATGGAACCGTCGAAAATGCATCTTTAAATGGTTGAAAAAGAAAACCATTTGCGCCTCTAAATTTAAATTTACGTAACATGCGTTTTCACCTCTTGTGATAATTTAATGGGATATCATGAAAAAAAAACCTTTGTTGTTAACAACAACACCTAGAATATTCCTTTAAAAAAACGTCTTAAAAGTTTTCCTACACCATGTTCAGTTTTGTGCTAAGCTAATTAAGTCCGAGTGCGATTCTGTTTATTGTAATCTTAATTGAGCAAGTTATTAATTAACCTTAAACGAGATCTAATTGGTTAGGTAGTTTGAAATGGGTCATAAAAAATACACGAGTGTTATTCGGGGCTTCGCCAATGAAAAACGGCAAGTTTTGCTGATCTCACGGAATGTGAAACTATTTGCTGATTGCAGCTCACAGCTGAACAAGGTTGAGTAGTTCACAAGTATTTGCTCTTTCCTTTTATACTTTTATGACAAGGCACTATCATTGCCGCACGTAACTCAAATATGAACTATATCTACCTGGGTGTATACATCCTTTTAGCATTTTTCGCGGTAAGTGTTAAACTTTGGTGCATTATAATTTCTCTCCTCAGATGCAATCCTTCGTTTTTACTAACTCCTGTAGAGAAAAAACATTCTGTTACTGAAAGTGTTCTGTGTTTTAGGTCCGGGTCTCCACCTTGCGAATGCAGGTTCGGCCAGAAGGTATTGTATATTTTAGCCAAGTTTTTGATATATTCTGTTGCTTTTTCTGTAAAGAAAATAGATGCGGTGTGATAAACGATAAATACCAAATCTGTGTAAAGGTTTTAAATTACGTGGTATCAATTGTAGATCTAAGGAAGTGTAATTCCATAGAACCAGAAATGCTTCTTAGTCTTCAAATGTTACATCTTTTTCGAAACTGGTCTTCCATAACTATCCTCTAATTACTCTAAGCTATAATTATTTAAAAAATGTTTTACTTTACGAAGTAATGTTACAGCGCCTGCAAAAGCGTTCAGATAAAAAAAAATTTTTTCTTTTAGGAAAGGAAATAGATATAATTTGAGCGTACGTTTCTCCTTAAAATTGTTTAGGAGAATGTCAGGTTTTTTTATTGTTTAGGATTAAGGTTTGTTAGAATACATTAAGTATTGATGCTCTTGAAAGAAAAGGAAATTCAAAGCAAGTTTCTATACATCCCTGACACTATTTTGTTGTTTGATGAAATAGAACTGTTTTTTCCTTCGTTTCCAAGGAAGGAAAGTTCTAGCAGTGCGAACATTATGAAAAATTCAAGAACCTTTGGTTGCCAACGGAAATAATTTTGAATTATTAAGTAGTAACATATATAGGATCAGTCTTGTTCAGGTGTCGTAATCATCGCTTCGTTAATTATTAAATACTTTTAAATATTATTCAAGTGATTGGCAAACATTGGTAAGTTGGCAATTATGCTTGCTTTGGCTTTATTAGGCATTGCATTGTTTGCTATCTTTCGTTGCCTCATTGGTGATCGCACACTTATGAAAAGATAGCCGCCCGACTAAGTACTACAACACTTAATAAAATTAAATTTATTCATTGTGAATCCTGCGCTAATCAAACTCATTTACACCAGGGCGGAGCCAAAAGTAATCTGTAAATTGCTTTAGGAGCAGTTGATTATGTTAAAGATTGTTTGATATAATAGTGGACTGAGATTCGTTCGTTGGCAGACAAACGTTTTCTCTCTGTTTGAGAGCATATAAATTTATTGCAATTTTGAAAAAAAGGCGAGAAACAAGAAAAGAATCAGAGCTGTATTACGTTATGAAAAAATGAGGTCTCTAAACCCTTCCAATTTTTTTTTAGAGAAAAAACCGTATGTAAATTTTCACCGAATAATATCAGCCTCAAAGTGTCAAAAATGGCGGTACATTAGGCCGCGGTAACACTTTTAACTACTCGATACCTATACATTTTTTTTCTTAATTTACCTTATCAACCTAAACCCCTTGTTAGTTTTGTTCACCAAATGAGAAAATAATCGCGTTGTATCAGTCGAACGCTGGTGCCCAACACCCTCTGCACGCTATACATGCCTATGTCGTATAGAGCACTTTGAAAGTACTATGTCACCGGTGACGCATCAAGTATAATTTCGCCTGAAATTTTCATATTCATCGTTTGCAATCTGTTTTTTTATCTTTTTTTCCAACGTGAAACATTCCTGGCCCTCTCTGGTTTCATTACTATACAGTAGAATCCCAATTTCTCGAGTCCTCGATTTTTGGAGCTCCTGATAACTCGAACCATAAGTCGCTTCTCTCTGCTCAGTCCAACACTTAAATTTTAACCCTGATTTCTCGAACTACCCGATCTTTCAAACCAATTTTTGCTTCCCTTGGAGATTTGAAAAATCGGAATTTCACTCAGTATCTCCTCGGAGTCACTTTACCTAAGTGGATTATAATTTGGAGTTTTTCGTAAAGTTTAGCAAGCGTAGCAGACGTTTCCTTTCCATTTTCCAGACAGGGAGATTGAGCAAACCAGCGAGCAAACGAGCGCGCCTGGGGTGAGCAAAATAATGGGGAGAAGTGGGGAGGGGTTCTCGCTCGCAGTTTCGTTCCCTTCGCGTGCTTTTGCAGATAACAAACGTCTGCTAAGCAGGTTACGTAAAGTTGAATTACTTGTAATTTTCTGTATCCCAACTAATAATTTGCCATATCGTGTCATTCTTTCGACATTTTGTTTTGTTTTTATTTCAGAGTACATGGGTTGTTACGCAATCGACGAGGAGAAACGCTTATTTATCTCAAGTCCGGGAGATTATGACATCAATGATATCAGCCCTTTGCACTGTCTTAGGCAGTGCGGCAGGAAATATCGCTTTGCAGCACTGCAAGAGGGAAATATCTGTCTGTGCGCAAACTCGCTGCCAGTCACGGCGGTGAATGACTCGGAATGTGATAGTACGTGCCCAGGCTCCGACAGCTGGTTGAGCGAAGCACGGGCATGGCTTAGGTGAGTTTGTTAGTTAACATTTTTTTTGGATATGTGCCTTCAGCTTTATTTGAGATCAGAGAATATTTCTTCAAGACAAACTGAGCAAACACGCGCGCACACAGCAAAACAGGCAGGGGAAAGATGAAGCAGTGCGGCCGAAAGAAAATCAAGCACAACCAAGTAATAAATTTATTCAAACTTCTATAATTGGTCGCGTTTTGACCAAACATGACACGTTTAAGACGAAATACGATAGGAAATCAAACAATTTCAGTTTTTAGTGGACAAAAACCTTGTACCAGAATAATTTCAAGTATATTACAGTGCTTTTTGCATTTAGTAAAGGCTAAAGATGTAAATAGCTGCTTGAGATAACACCAAAAACAATTACGTATGGGAACTCGAGAAAATAATATTCAAAGTTCAGAGAAATTGTGCAAATCACAGGTAAAATTTCATTTCACCAGTACTTTCAACTGTTTCGTATGAACTTCAAAATCTGTTTTTGAAATCTGGTGTTGTTAGAAATGATTTCTTCTGATAAGATATTTAAAACAGTCACACAGAAGTTAGCAGTACGGTGTAAATAATCCTGGTACAAAGTTTTTACCCGCCTGTTACTCGAACTTGTGGTGGATTCCTTCTTAAACTTTCCCAGATGCGGTGGTCGTCTGAGAAACAGCGTCTACTCCGCGTCGGAGAGGATACTGGGTCTGAGTCTGGTCAAGACAGGTCGACTCCCTCTTCTTGAACCAGTTACAATATCTGGCAGCATGGTCAATGGGTTGAACGTGACGTTCGCCTTCAAACTCGGCGATGGTTCGGAAACATTGGAACCTTCAGAGGAGCCCCTGATTCGCCATATTTATGACCAGCCTGGGTCTTATGTTGTCTCCATGGAAGCGACCAATCCCATTACGGGCTCGATAACAGTGTCAGAGGTAGGGATGTTGATAGAGTAATATCTCAAACACGAAAGACCGTGTTTGACCACATCTCCAAACACCGAGAAGAGAGTTGAAAATACGACGCGTAGTGGAGTATTTTTGACGAACTTCGAGGAGACGACAGTGAAATACAATCGCAAAAATCTGTTAATTACGATCAGATATTTACTTCCTTAAGTGTGTTTTCAACAAGAACGGATCAGTGCAACTAGAGTGATTATCATGTACAAACTTTTACAATAAAATATTTAAAAAAAGTATGGATGCCATGAATCTTACAACAAATTTGTGTGTCGAAGACGTAAATTCTTGCGGCATTTTAACGACGGGATTCTTAAATCATGCTCATCAAAGTTATGTTCAAGTGTGAAATTTTTGCATTTCTTTATGACAGATGTATGACGTCGATGATCCCCTGGGACCTATAGAGCTGCATTGTCCACACTCGGCCCCTCTAGGATCATGGGTAGAGTGTAACGGCTCACTGATTCGAGGATCGCGCATCAATAACACTTTCCTGTTTGGCGACGGAAGTCATGAGTTCATCTCACTGAGTAAGTCAGCCGCATGATTTGGAAGGATTGCCGAATGACGTACAGCCTTTGTGCTTTCTAAGGGGCAGGGGTGGGGGGTGGGGGTGATTATTTTGTTTTGTATGCTGTCGGGAAGTACCATAGACTAGTTCCTGGCGTGATGGACTCTAGATCAAATGGTCCTGATAATATGATTAACTGCGTTATCGTTTTTTGCAAACAAAAAATGTAAACATCTAAACTCAGGTAAAGGAACCGAAGAATCCACTTTGGGCAAAGATTCTTCGGTTCCTTTGATGCCCCATGATCCGAGACATCTTGAATTAATCTGTTTAGAAAAGAAACGCAAATCCGTCTTCGGATTTAAGAATCCAATCTTGGATTTTCTTAAAGCAACGCATCCTTACTTTTGAGTCACACACGCGAGCGAAAAGCGAGTCAGCGAGCACAGCGATTCGGCCTGGAGGAGTCTGGTGCTGGGAGCAGTCTGGCCTTGCGCTTGCGTGTGTGCTTCCCAAAAGCGAGCCTGCTCGCAGGCTATGGATAATGCTATTGACCGAATGAATTGGACATCCGGACGAGGAGTAAAAGTAGGCACCGACAGATGCTAGGACAACCTGACGAAACAGAATTCTGAGGAGTAACCTGGGATGGACTCAAAGATCATCCAGAGACGAGTAGCAACTCTTCCAGTCACTATATGCTACAGATAGCGGTTAAAATCGTTTTGAAACTGTGCAAAAGGCTTATCGTTTAATAACTCTTCTTTTTAAATTTGTCATTAGGTTCTCGCTATTACAACGCCGGACCACACATTCCTCGAAGCAACAATACGTTAAATCTGCTCTCGTCGAGTCCTCAAGGCACAATCGTGTCGCCAGCTTATGAGTTCCGGCACGACGGTACAGTTACTGAATGGGAGTTTGAAGGAGCAAAGACTGGAAACGTGAGACTACAGGTTGGTTAAATGATA